AAATTTTGGTACCACCAGAAAGGTCTCGTTACAGGAATACATATGCCAAATACGAAAGACCTTTCACGGTGCAAAAGTTATGGCCAATGTTAACATTTTTCAAATGTATGTCAAAGGTCACGGTCAAGGCCACACAGCGAAAAACAATAAAAATAGTTATGGGAAAAGTCAACAACAAACATACAAACAAACAGACAACACAAAAACAATGTGCCCCGATTTTTCGGGAGCATAAAAAATCACAAAAAAGAAATCGAAATGATGACGTTTATCGAACAGCTTGGTAGAAATCCGTCTCTGTTATTAGCGGCTGATGTAGAAGAGTCTGTCGCAACCTTGATTAGTGAATATATAATATTGACATGGTCGACATTTTTTTAAAACAATGCATCATGGATAAAAAGTGAGACAGGAAGACTTTGCATGAATCAACTGAACGAAAACGAGGTAGTCATGGAAGGCGTAGAATTTGATTCCTTAGGTCAGGCGCAATTATCTGTTGGAAGGTTTTACTAACAAAGTCGACGAACCAGAAATCCGAATTTTTCCACGATTTCGTACTCCGTATGTATCTATTTTTCATAATTTCGTTCCAGGATAGTTCGCAACTATATAACTGTACCGCCATTCACCTTTCTTCAAGATATCTCTCCTAGTTAATAAAGTGTCCTTCAGTTTAGAATTGGGTATGGTCGTGTATAGAAAAGGAATATAACATTTTCTTATAAATGGCACGTTTTAAGGAGAAGTTGCTCAAAACAGTATCAGTATGATGGAAAGTTTTTTCCCAAGATGTGGACTCTCATCATCAATATTGTTAAGAATAGCGATTTGTTCCACGGTTCACTGAAGAGCGATGATAATTTATTCCCGACTTTACTGTCACTTTTTGTATCGCCAAAGTGTGAGTTGAACTACGCAGAGCAAACTGGTTCCTACAAATAACGTTGCAAGATTTACATTTGAGGGTTCAGACCACATTGATTTGGCGTGAATTCCCGCCCTACGGTCAATGTTGTATTATAGTATGGACCGTGGGACGGGAATTCGTGCCAGATACCTGTGGTTCTCTGTTTTTGTGAGAGAACTATTGGAAACATTTCTATGTATCCTGTTACTAATGAATGAAAACGGTAAGACAAAGAATACAGAATATATGAAATTCAGTTGTACCAATGACTGTCAAAGCAAGTAACCACGAGTTGTCACTCCTTCACCCATCAGCGCCAACAAGCACGTGTTGTCTCCCCTACACCCATCAAAGCCATTTGGAACACTTCGATTGCAGTGCCTTCCATCATAGGTAAGATTACCTGGTCCGATTGCATCAAAGCATGTGAACATGAGTTGTCTCCCCAAATCATCAAAGCAAGGAAGACAGCACGCGTTGTCTCTCCTCCACCAATCAAAGCAAAGAAGACAGCACGCGTTGTCTCTCCTCCACCAATCAAAGCAAGGAAGACAGCACGCGTTGTCTCTCCTTCACCAATCAAAGCAAGCAAACACGTGTAAAGACTCTTTCCTCAGTCCTTTTAGAGCAAGCACACAGAAGTTGGATTTGTTCAAAATATTGAAAACAAATCCTCTTAACCGAAATATAAGTTTTGAATCTTGCTTTTTTCGATATCATTGGATGATGAATTGAGTAGCCCTTGAAATACATTCACCATGAAATGTTTGGCAGTTCATTAAATTTGTCTCAAGAGCAAGTCAATTTATCACTTCATGAAATTGACAAAATCAATTACAATGCTTAAAACAAACGTGACAAAATATTTATTGACAACATCTTCTAAACTTCTAAAGTTTAAGGAACTCTTCCTTCCTTGAATATTGTATTTATTTTCTTCGTAACTAGTTCATGTTTTCTTTTTTCCTAGTTTATCCTTTCGGACAATCTATGTATGTTTGCCGAGTAGGATACTAATCGCTGCGTCTCATTCAGCAAGACTCTTCTTATTTGCACACGTGATAAGTGTCTTGGTGAATGAGACTATTTGTTGCTATGTCAACCATTGTGATATTTTTGTTCATTTGATTACCCTATCATAAAAGTTTTGATAAAAATTTTTAAAAAATCCTTGCTAAAAGAAGTCTTTTTTTTTCAGAATAATATTTTTGCATTGTGTTGGAAATTAATATTTTGGACAGTTTTGAATCGGTGTCTACACACCGAAATATAGATAAACAGGAAGTGAAATTTCCTTAGTATGTACACGTGGCCATTTTGTAAAGTCGTTCCGAGTTTCCGAATTTGCTTCAATATAAGTAATGTGTTAGCATGTCAGTTCGCAAATAAATGTCTTCTATGTAGTTGTAGTGTTAGCTTGGAATTAGTAGTATTTAAGTATTTTCAGCATTTTTAAAAATTGCAATCATGGCAATCACATGTCAGAAATCCTGAACACAATTTGTATTTCTCTACTTTTAATGTAATTGTAGTCTAGTTTATAAATATGTATACATCTAAGGGTGTATGTTTCATAACCAATTTGCTTTACCTGTTTACTGAATTTCAAATATGACCTATGATTTCATGAAAAAATGCTAATTAACTGTTTCCTACTACCCATGTCGCAAAAGTATAACTGTGAATTTCACTTCCGTGTTACAACTTCATAACTGGTTGTATGTGTAAAATATTTTCACATTTTTTCGCAAATTATATTTAGGCCTTGCTTCGCAAGCGGCCCTTACGGGTCTGCCCGAACCACACTTCCTATGAATATCAAACCCAAGACTTCGGATGTATATAAATAGACTCAGCCTCTCTTTCTTTCTTAAATAAAAAAGATGTTATTATAAATTACAAGAAGATCATTAAAACAACTTTTACCTTGACATATTTTAGCGAGAATTACAATTCTTTCCATGTAAAGTATAAAATAATAATATGAAGCCAATCAACCAAGGATCAATGTTTTAATGGAACACATCACGATACATAGGCTAATACAAAACTATTCAATATTGTTCTTTTGTGTTCAATTGCAAATCATTAGAATTCGTGAAGCTTCAAAATCTACCACAGACACAAACACACACTTATCCAGATAGCAAATTACTACGTCGGTGTTTTATAGTATAGCCACAAAGAATCTGGACCGAAATAACACCTAGTCTCCTCCAATCCTGCATGCATTATGTTATCAAAATGACGAAGTTGATTTCAAGTTGCAAACAATGTGGTGTCAAATTTTTCAGTTAGTCCTTGTCCGACCATGTAATTGCAGATCGCAAATTTTCATCCAATCTCCTTGATATGAACACATCTCAATTTACTGAGAATCTTTCCATGACGCTGGTCAAACCAAACCGATAGCTTTGAATTTTCCGACATTGTCGCGTTCCTGGCTATCAAACTAAAAGCTGTCAATAACGATGGCTCACAAGAAAGATAAATGTTTGAAATATGTGATTTGCTCTGATCCACAGCTTGTTGTTGCTGGCGAGAGATATGTCGTCGTTGAAGAATAAAGATGGAGTATTCAGAATTCAAAAATTAAGTTATAAAATGTCAATGTTTAATTTCAGCTTTATACAGTCGTGAACACTCTTCCAGTATCCTTTATTGCATGGCAGTAGATATTCTATGATCATAATAAATCAATTAAGTTGAAAGAAATCGATTGAAAATCTACAGATCAGAAGAAGTCATATGATGTCTAGTATAAAGACAAACTGCTTGTTCATCAGGAGGTGTATGGCAAAAATATTTCTTGACATCCTAGAAAGACAATAAGGCCTTTATAAAAAGTCGACAAACAATCACACACTTTGGTCGATGCCTTGATGGTTGCACTTAACATTTGATCATTTACGATAAGGCAATTACGATTCATGTTAACAATAGCTAGCGAGGTCTGACATGACCCACACCAACTCTTTTGTTTAAACATATTTTATTGCCGTTAAGCAAAAGGATTAGGCACAAGTTACAATAACATTATTAACGCCCAACTACTCTAGTAGACACTAAAGAGGAAATACAACCTTAAAAGTATGAGAACGGCTATTCCATTGAACCGAAACTAGGGGAATAGAACAAGAAAAAACTATAAATAACAACAACCAGTCTACAATAGGTAAGGTTCACTTCATCAGTAATATGTTGAAAATCAACAAAAATGAGAAAATGTTTTTACAGCAACAAGTTGAAAACTTTTAAAAGAATGATATCGACATTCAAATCACGGAGTCGTGTGGTCGGATGGCGCAGTTGTAAAGAATTCGTCTTTCACTTAGCCATCCGAGGTCACCTGTCTAATCACTTAGGTTTCCTTCCACAGTAAGGACCCATTTCCTCCGCGCGCGCTTCAATCCGGGCCAAAAAGAGTGATCGCAATTGTTGTAAAATAAACAAAGTTTATATTTATAAATATGTTGGAATCACACGTTATTGAAAACTTAAAAGTCAGCAATTAAACAACATTCAATTGTGATACGTACAAGTTCATCTTGGTAGGCAGTGAACAAAAATATCTTCATCACTGTAACGAAGCAAGGAAGTTGTAACATAGTGAAACATAGGACCAGTTTGAAATTAATACCACGACATAGAAGAAATGTTATTCAGAAGAGTTGGGGACACATTTGGAATGTTAAAAACGCATAATTGAGTGTACAACAGAATGACTGGAATATTACTTAACAATAAATTAACCAAAGAAAAATGAACGAAATGCATGTGTTTATACTGAACACATCATAATAGCATTATGGCATCATAAACGAATGACGTCTTGATGTATGTATTGAAAGTACTTATATTACCAAAAAAATCTGGGATTTTAAACTGAATATTAAAAAAAATGTTAAAACTTTATCTAGGTATCAAAACATTCATTTCGGAAATTGAAATCGAAAGACCTGTTAATACTTGTGTAATCAAATTCATTTGATTGGGAAAATGCGTTCTGTTGGCGTCATATGATTCATCCAGTCAAAGACCTTGGAGGAGTTACCATGCTCAATTGTACGGATGTAAAACAGTGTGCACATCACTGTGATATGTGGGAAATGGATTCGCGCTGGCGTTTGCACACATACTTGTCCGATTTATTTGGATGATTCTTACATATTATTTTCTGAAACTGTTGACGATATTCACGACAGGTTATGAGATAGATAGGGAAATTGATGCTTGAATTTGCTACGAAGAAGATGTACCATGTCACAGTTAACATCCAATGCAGGTTGTCTTCTCGTCGAGCCCTATGTACGTTAGACTGCAAGAACAGCACACAGCGGGTTATGGTACCTGGCAGATTGGTAAGGAGAAACGCAGTTGTCAATATCAGAAGTGTTTTAGTCACCCGCATGTCACGTGGGCCTGTCGGCATGCTGTGCGTGCGCAGTCGAGACTTCCTGGACTGGTAGATGAGCGAGATGATAGTACCGGAACTGGCTGCTACTACCAAGCCGACAGGTGTGAACCGTAGGGTGATTTCTGTTGTGACGTAGATTATGCTAGTAACTTGTTTGTCTCTACCAAACGCGGTTAATGATACAATATCGACAATCTTGCCAGTTTTTGTGTCGTTGATTTCATTATTCTCATACAATAAAGCCAGTGGCAAGGAGACGATGGCTGGGATGACGTAAGCAGCTACGATAGCAGTTATGGCGAATCGCCTGCCACAGAAAAGCCGCACCTTTAACGGAAACACTACTGCAAAAAACCTATCCACTGCTATCAATGTAATCAGATAATTACTGATGGAGCCCGGGAGTGGATTGATGTATGACAGGAAAACAGGTATCATTAAGATACGAATGCGCTCGAATAATGAATACCCATAAATGTCAAGAACGGTCACAGTGCAAACGATGAGAGCGCAAAGTAGAATGCATACGTCACACACGGTTAAGCTTATCAGATACAAGTTTGTAGCGGATCGTTTTTTGATTGGACAGAGCAGGACAAAGCTAAAGATGTTGCAGACTAGGCCCACCATCGCCATGACTGGAATAAGACCGCTGTAGGCGGCCTTCATCATCACTTGGAGAGTCGCGTTGCTTATAACACCATCTCTTGGATGGAGCTCGTAGTTTCCAATTGTAACCGTGTCCGTGACGTTGAAATCGGTAATATTCATGTTACTTTTTATTACACACGTGTTCTGAAAAGAAAATTCAAATTATATGTTAGTAAAATATAAATATATCAAGAAAAATGGACATTATATTTGGAATAAGAACTGGAATATTCCATGTTGAAAATGGAACCAGATAGGCGTGATAATGTTATCCGAATTGAAATCCTCACAACGCTACCTAATTCTTTTCTTGTGAGATTCATAATCTGAGTCGTAATTACAATTGAAACACTTCATGTTCTTAACACATTATTTGTACAAGTTGAAGTTCACTTTTCTAATCCCTGTTTGTTATGATAAATATAAAATCCCAGAAAACGGCTGATATAGAAGAGCATGTACTGTCATTGAATAACAAATTTGGCCTTAAGAATACCAGACGAGTTTCAGAAGGACGAAACAGCTTTATAATGCAGATTATAGTATATCCTTTTTTTTTTTTTATTTTTTTTTATTTTTGTTTTTGTTTTGTTTTTGTTTGTTTGTTTGTTTTTTGTGCTGTGCTTCTTACAGAAGTATTCACGACTAGCAAAATGTTCAGGTGTATGTAGGTATTACAGAAGTATTCACGACTAGACTGTGTATGTAGGTAACATAGAAGTATACTGAACCCAACAACAATATTGCCAACCAGAAATTTAATAATAATATCTTTATTTTCAAAATATATATATGATAATGGTTGTTCGCTCTCCACGAATAAGAAAGAAAACATGCATATAAAAGAATGAAAGGCGTTGCTTTGGTGTTAGAAAGTGGTTTGGAATTGTATAAGGAGAGAGTTTAGCCAACAGACCATGGTTATGCAGCCCACTACTCTTGGAGAACCCTGGGCTGAAATACCCTGATTAATTTGTGAAAAAAAGTGATGCTATGAAATATATCCGACATAAACAAAACTAAAAAAAAAAAAAAAAAAAAATCACAATTGTTTTTTAGAGAAAGTAACATTATGATATTGACAAAACATTGTCGGAAATGAACATTGATGACGTATAGAGATCCAGTTATAAAATGTACATATGATACGTCATTTTAAAAAAATCGATCCCCATAATCGATATTGAAATGCATGTCTTCAACGTAGAGTACGGAACCTGGGTGGGGGTCCATTTAAATGATTTATTGGAGACGGGGATATTGTTATCATAATCAAGGTCTATTTCCTAGTTGAAAATAGAACCGATATTAAAGGTTAGAATTGTATCAGAAAAAAACAAAAATCAATATTTTGGGGTCCATTTTCGACGTAGAGGATGTGTATGGATTGTTTTTAACTTTTTTTTATCAGAAAGAAGCAATTGTTTCGTTTATGAAATCAATTTCCATTTCCCTTAATACTTTGAAACATTTGAAAAATCCGTAATTGGAAATGTTCTGTGTAGCCTCAGAGATACAGCAAATTTAATAATCGATTAAAAAAGATAATCAAATTAATAGCAATTTCTGGATTTGTAATTAATCTACGTATCTGTAGTATGTTCCAGTTATAGTGGAAACCCAAATTTTAAGGGACAGAATGGTTAAAATCATTATTTTCCCATGCGTTTGATTACGAGCAACAGTTGTAATGTAAGTGCTGAGGACACAGACGACAGAAAAAAGGTAACAGTTATCGTGTGAATGCTGTATATTCTGTAAATGTTATACAAATAAAGACTTCGGGTGTAATTTAAAACAGGAGAATGTAAGAATTAAAAGGATATGATTAAAAGTATGTACAAATAACTGAATTGATTTAATAATTATTTTATTGCAAAACTTTGTACAATTGGATTGGGCACAAGTTTTTCCAACTTATTAAGCCCTCTCCATTACATGGATGGTAAAACAATACTTAAATACAAGCAATGTAACAATATATTGAATCATAATATTTTTCACTGAAACAAAAAAAAAAGAAGGATGTAAAGAAGAAAGGAGGATAGGTGAGGAAGGAAAAAGGGAATATATAGTACAAAGGAAGAAATGCAGATACTAGCCAAATCGCCCAGAGGCATCAATAAATTTTTGAACAGCTCTAGCTAAAAGTGAGTTTTCAGCTGAACTTAGTCGTACGTCTCCATTTAAAAGTACATCTATCGAGATATCACCCTGATACCACGACAGTTCGGTGAACAGGGTGTTACGAATTTGAATGTAGTTCGAACAATGAATTAAATAATGAAAGGAATCTTCAGAGGGATGTCCGCAGGAGCAAGATGCTGAGTTCATGAGATTGGCTCTGAATAGGTCATAGTTGAGTGAGCTTGCCCTATTTCTTAAACGACAATGAAGAATATTCAGTTGACGGGGGCCATATGATAGGAAACACGATTTAAGCTTGTTGGAGTTTTTTGGACGTAGTTTGGTTTTAAACAATTTTAGTGAACCAGCCGTTTTTAAAGATTCATCTAATCTATTCCAGAGTTCAGTTGTAGAAGGAAAAAAAGAGTTACACATAGATTGAAGACGATAAGTTGGTTGTCGTAACTGATCTGCATTTCGTAAGTCATACTTAGTGAGATTACCAATATGTTCAGGGATAAAGTCAGTGAGGAAAGATGGTGCGATCCCATTAATTATATTATAAAAAAGAGATAACTTGCGATGTTGACGTCGTAATTTAAGTTCTTCCCAGCCCGTTTCATTTAGTAGAAAGTCAGATCTAGTATAAATGGGTAAACCAGTCACAATTCGGGCTGCCTCTAATTGAATTTTTTCAATATTTGATGACATATTAACTCCACAATTATCCCAAACTTCACAGGCGTATTCTAATAATGGCCTTATGTATGTGAGATACATTTTTTCTAAAGTGTGCCTGTTTAGAATTAATTTTAACCTACGTAAAGTTGCTATATATTTAGATACCTTTTTAGTAACTTCTTCTACGTGTTTATTCCATGATCCATCATTACTCAGTATGACTCCTAAATGTTTGTGATGATCTGTAAGTTCTATATAAGTATTGTTAAAAATAAATTGTGGTTGGTGATCAGGTCGTGTGTTAGATATTATCATTATTTCTGTTTTGTGTGGATTAAAAGACATTAGCCAATCTTTCGACCATTTTTCTAATTTTCTCAGATCACTATTAACTGCTAATTCTATGTCTGCTATATTACGAGAAGAGTAGGAGAGTGATGTGTCATCTGCAAACAAGCGTGATAAAGATGTAAGTTCTGTGTAGATATCATTTATATAGATTAGAAAAAGTAGAGGCCCTAGAACAGAACCTTGAGGAACTCCTGCAGAGGTATTCATAATAGTAGAGCGAGAATCATTTATAAAGACAGATTGGGTTCTATTGGAAAGATAACTTGAAAGCCAATGAAGAAGTTTACCATTAATTCCATGTTTTTCTAATTTATAAAGAAGACCAATATGCCAAACCCTGTCGAATGCCTTAGAAAAATCACAAAAGACAAATGCAGTATGCTCATAATTTTCTAAACTAAGTTGGAGGGTATGATACAACTCGATAAGTTGATGCGTGCAAGAATGATTTGGCAAGAAACCTGACTGGAATTTGTAGACAAGACTGTTGTCAAAAAGGAAGTTATATATGTGTTTGTATATCACACGTTCAAAAATTTTACCGATACAGCTAAGAAGAGATATGGGTCTGTAATTTGACACTTTGTTGTGATCACCCGATTTGAAGATAGGCATTACACTAGCAAATTTCCATTTATCGGGATATGAGCCTTTGGAAAGAGAAAAATTAAAAATAATAGAAAGGGGTAAGGAAATTTCTTTGGAAATAAATTTCAACATTTTATGACTAATCCCATCTGGACCTGAAGCTTTATTTACATTTAATGAGTGAATTACATCTTCAATTTCATTTTGTGAAATAATGAGATCAGAAAGAGTAGAATTAGTTCTTTTCTTGAAGTGAGGTACAGACTTATCATTATCAGAAAGTGAAGATATGGAAGAAAAAAAGTTGTTTAAGAGTTCACACTTGTCTTTGTCATTAAAAATATATTCATGTGATTTTTCATCGTAGAGTGGGGGTATTTCAACATTTTTCTTTCCTTTCATCAATAGACGCAAGAGTTTCCAATAAGTTTTAGGTTCAGATTTACTTTTATCGATAATAGTATCAATATTTTCATAAAAAAATTCTTTGGCCCGTTTAATCATATTATTAGCCTTATTTCTTGCAGTTTTATATTTGTTCTTATTAAAGTTACTACCTCTTCGAATATATTGTTTTTTTAATCTATCCCTTATTCTAATTTGATGACGTACAGAGTTGTTCATCAAGGGTTTATCATGAGTACGTAATTGAGCTTCCTTAAAAGGAATACAGGTGTTTGCAGCAATTAAAATATTGGTAGTTAAAAATTCGCACATATCATTTACATCATTTAACTCATTCAAAGCGTGATTCCATGGAATATCAGAAATAAATTTCCTAAGTCCGTCAGTGTCAGTTCTATTATATAACCAGACCTTTCTTTTGACCACTTTGTTTATAATATTAGGTACATCAATAATAACAAAGACAGCATCATGATCACTAATAGATCTATCGATAGTTATAACCTCCGAGTAGAGAATATTCACGCTGTCACTAATTAAAATTGGATCCAATAAAGAAGAAGATTCAGCCGTGACTCTGGTAGGTTCTGTAATAATATTTTTGAAGTTGTAAGATGTAAATATGGTAGAAGGTTCACCTCGGAGAGGTTTAAGAAAGTCTATATTAAGATCTCCCAATAGAATAACATTATTTGTGAGTTCAAAAGCCCGATCAAGAGAGAAATTTATACGTTGCCACAGCCCGTTCAAGTTACTTGTATTAGGAGGTCTATATAAATTACCAATAACAAAAATTTTACCTTTAAAAACAAATTGAGCCCATATAATTTCATCGTTAAGACATTCAAGATCAATTAGACGTTTTGCAACTAAAGAAGAAGAATAGTACATTATTACACCACCTCCAAACATATTTCTATCTTTTCTAAAGGGTTCCTTACAAAAACCATCTATTATAATTTGATCAT